TGTGCCCGACTTATTAGTAAACCAAATAACCAAACGATGCAGAGATAAGAGAGAAGTCGCTGTCTCTGAGATAAATAAAAAACGATTGTTTCACTGTCACTGCCAAATTCCTCATTGCATGGTTCGATAGACAGATAATTAGTTGGCTCAGGCTGTGCATTTGGAATTCTGGACAGACAGATAAATACCAGTGTATTTATTAGTTAAAGTTTGGAAGAAAATGGGTGCTCGGCAGTCTGGTAGATATGGGTCATCCCTTTTTTTTTTACAGTGAAATTTCTTGGCCGGGAACTGCAAAAGAAAGTTTTTGCCTTCAAAGAAAAGAAGTGCAGGTGAAGCAGTTTCGTAATCAACGGCTAACTTTTAGGACTTAGAGGTGTTATCCAGATCATTTTCCCCTTTTTCCCTCTTTCTGTTTTTAACCCACGGTTGATGGTTGTACAGGACACCTGTCTTGTCTAGGGCGGATTTCATTACATTCCCTTTAGTTTCTCACTGCTTTCCTAATTTTATCCTTTATCCAACTAATCATATTATGCTGGCAACAACTATGCAGTGGAAAAAATTTTATTTATTTATTTTTTTAGATGAAAGTGGAATAGAATAAATACCAAGTCCTTAACTGCCCGCTGCCCAGCATGTGAATTGAAGTAGTGCTAACGAAATCTTGTGGTCTTCATTGTGTACCCTTTTAGGGCAGCAGCAAATTCAATCACCTAACTATCTTCTGATGAAGTTATACAAGTCCGCTCAAACAATTTTTCTTTTTGTTTGGAACAATGGGAGAAGTCAACTGGGCTACTGCAGTTTGCACGTTTGCAACATCTCCTCCAGCCCTTTGGTACAGCTGCAGCTGCTGCCTGTGCCTGGATTTTCCTTTTGTGCCTCTTATGAGTCCCAATCCCATTGGTGAAACCCTCCATGGATATCCTGTGCATGGCACTAATGGCTAAAGGAATGCAATAATAGCTGCGGATGAAATTTATGTGTCAAGCTGTACAGCCAGTTGTAGTGTCCCAAGAATTCAATCACCTCGGTATCAGTAATAGGATAGCAGTTGCAATCTTTCACTGCGGTAATTAATTGCATATGCCGTCCGAATGGGTTAAAATTGAGTAGCGTGTTTGGACATGTAGATTATTCGGGATAAATTTTTTGAAAAAAAAAATACTATAATATATATATATATACTCCCTCCCTTTTTTTATAACTGACGTTTAAGGTTTTGCACACCAATTAAGAAAAGTTTTTCATTGTTTAAATCTATACACTACTTTCCTTTTGTACCCTCATTAATTATCCAATTCACCCATGTTTTCTCTCACTAGAGTATTAAATGGTGCTGTTTTACTAGGTCAAAAGCAATGCAAATTAACTCCCACCAATTATGAAAAGAGAGATAAAAGGGTAAAATTGTGAAAAAATAATTAATGTTGCATGGAGATAATAAAACGACAGATAAAAGTACTTAAGAGCAAATTTCTTAAACGTCAATTATAAAAAAAGGGAGGGAGTATATTTTTTGGTGTTGAGCATATGATCATTCCTCTCTCTTGACAAACTAGGCTTGAGATTGAATTAATTGCCCCTACATTGGTGAGGCACAATGGGAGGAAAGAAATGTTTTTGTACAAACAACAAAATCGAAGCCGTTTTTCCTATTCCTTTTTTTAAGCTAATCTAAAGAATATATATATTCACATACTACAATGTGATTAAAACAATTCCAATCCTTAACTTAAAAGTAAATCACTCACTACTACAACGGAATTTTCCTATCGGCCAAATTAGTATGTATTACACAAACGAGAAATTACAGGCAGAAGATCTAAACTGTTGAAAGTGGCTGGAGCCATTCATCCAATCTTCTCAGTGTTTGTATCATCAGAAGGCCAGATTACTGTCTCTATGAGCCGCTCTCGCATCAACTCCAAATTTTGATCAGAGATTTCTTTGTATATTGCAGCATGGTCACATTTCTGAAAGTGAAAAAAAAAAAAAAAAAATAGACAGCAATAGTGCAAAATATCTCAGTGCACAGGCACAAAAGGATCCTTGTCACAATACAATAATATTAAACCAGCAACATATCCTCTTTTTACCTTAATCCATTTTCCGTACAGGTAAAGTCGTGTTACCATCACTCTTTCTGCGAGTTCACGCTTCTCCTGTCAAAAGATGATGGATTTGAACCTATTAGGCTTGCCTGCCACTAATCAAGAAATTCATGCACCTAATGCTACAAGACCTTCCCCAGCGGATACCTTTGCCAGGCTGCGGATGAATCGCTTCCCATCACGAGGCTTATTTGCAGCAACATAACTGTTGAGGTCGAAATACACAAGTAAAATCACAAAACATGAAGCAATCTTTCTTTGGATTGTTAGAAGACAAAAGGGGCAACAAAGTAACAAGTTTTGATTGTAGAACTCATCGATGAAAAACCTGCAACTCGCTTCCTGTATAAACTCAGATGGGTAAAAGAAAAGAGAAGAAGCAGAAAAAAAATGCATATTGTGAACACTAGGCATGACTTCTGGCTCAACTCTTCTTGTTCGAATATGATGATGTTTAAGTGAGTGAGATCCAAGTCTTACTTGCTGTGTCTGAAGATATACAAAGCTGGACATCAAGAATGAAAAAAGCAGGCACAACATCTCTCAGAAGGAAAATTTTACTTACTCATTAAACCATCGGTATTGTGGAGGGTTCATCTCAGAGAGCTGGTTCATAACAGTCCTCACAGCTTTGTATGTGAAAAAGTTAAGAATTGACTGCAAGCCGATTCATTTAGCAACTTGAGCGAGTGAATGATAAAAATCTATCTAATCATTGGAGTCTACTATGATTGTAACCAAGGCAATTTTGTTATTCATGCACAATTAGGATAACGAACATGAAGTGATGGTAGCATATCCAATACACCAAAGACACACAGCAGCAAAGATCAATCCAATATCTTTCTGCAAACATGATTTAGTGTGTGGAACATATAATCGCACCCAACCACCCATGATAATTCTGTTCTCAATGAATAATGTGAATGCAGTTGTTGATAATAATACAGCCAAATTGTAGATACCACTAACTTTCTCTTTCTTCAAAAAATATAGCTAGTTTATCATACCTTTTTATTTCCATTTGCCCATCATCAGTTAGTTCATGCATAATTTTCTAATCTATAACTAATATGCTGCTGATCATAAATGGTTAAGAACAACCCCTTGGCTAGACGTGGGTTTCCAATTAATGTGCCAACATTATTCTTTTCATAGTTCCTAATTACTTGCCAAAAGGTACAATGAATTTAGTATCGCAAAGGCACAAAAAGCTGCAAATAGCAACACCAGTACATTCTCCCATAATAAATTAATCAACATGTAGCAAAAAATTAACCATACCAGGGATCAAAGGAAGCACAATAAGCATCTAGGACAAAGAGTGAATGTTCTTACAGCTTTTACATCAGCAAAGTTTTCCTCGTATTGTCCGGCCACTTCACTTACAATCTTCAAACTCCTGTTCTTCCTCTGCTCTCCCAAACTCCAACCACCAGATAGAGCTTTTACTGAATCAAGAAAAGGGCTACTCAGCTCCAATGATCCAGTAGGTCTCGGCATATGCCTTCTACTAGTAACTAAATTCCTACTCGTAATCAGATCTCCACTACTCAAGTTGCATGAAGGCAGAGCATCCAAACACAAGCATGGACATCCATGTGAATCAGTGATTGGTGAAGCAACAAGAGATAATGGTCCGACCATCCTTGAGCTCCTAAGACTAACAACAAATTTATTCCACACAGAAAAATACTAATCACAATACTCTGCAGTACCCCGGACCAGATTTCTGAAATTAGAACCAAGAATTGAACAATCTCAAGGGAACCCTCTTGAGAGAAACCGATAAAAAGCAAGGTCCCGTGTCCAAGAATATTGGAGGATTCACTTTTTGTCAAGTCAAAGTTTCGTGTATCTGGACGAAAAGGGTATGCACTATGCAGAGACGTACACTTTTTAAGTTGAAGAAGTAAAAAGGCTACAGGCAAGGAAAGTATACAAAATGCAGGGAAAAGTGGGCGGATTTTTTTGGTGAAGTGTGAACGCTGACCATAATAATTTTGAGGTCCAAAATACTCCAATCACAAACGGTATCCAAACCAGGTTCCATTGGCTGCTGAACCGAAATTAGTGCAATACATCTGTCAAATGCAGCCTCAGATAGTTTGCCTCATTTAGAGGGGAAAAAAGAAACAGCCAACGGAATTTAGATTGATAAGCTGTTAACGTACAGGCTGATTTATCTTTATCAGGTATCAAGTAGTCCAAGGGCTCCTTCGCGTGAATGATCCAGCGGTAGCGCCTCTCATCGGTGACTCTTAAGGTCCTAAGTTCGAGTCTCCACTCTGTTGGGTTCCTTCGCGCACTTATCGCGTTTGGGTCGGGTTGGGGCGCCGGATCCGGATCGCAGGGAATTAGTCGGGCCCCGTAAGAATTGATCTGAACACCTCTGTGTCAATAAAAAAAAAAAAAAAAAAAAGTCCAAGGGCTGCGTTGTCAGCAAAAACAAGTTGGAGTAAATTTGAGCTTGCCCGGCAAGTTTTTTCAAGAAATCCATAACAATCCAAATATATATATATATATATATATATAGTATATATTTACAAAGGGTTAAAAAAATGTATAAATTTGCATATCCGCTAGAGAAAAACAAATTTAAAGAATGTTAAAAGGTGAATAATGACTTCTAATTTTGCCGGGCACACAAAGGTACGGGAATAAAAAAAAAAACTTATGTCTTTCATCTTTGTGAACGCAATTGGAATGCTTGTAAAATAACTCTCCAAACAAGACTGAAATTTGACTTTCTTCTCCGTTTAACCAACAAGCCTATGGGAAGTTGTGCTGCAGAAATCGAAAACAATCCTTGGGCCTTGTTTGCAAATAAGTTTTGATCAAATTTATCTGCTACAAGTTTTTTAACAACTTCAACTACAATAATTTTAAAAAAATTCTCAAAATTTTTAAATTATACACTTTAAAATATCCAAAAAAATTACACATTTCAAAATTTTTTTCTACAACTGTTACGATAAACTACAGGAAAGTTTTAAACAAACACCCAAAAAACTCACTTGTCAATCGGCCCTAATCCCCCTTAAAGAAATAAGGAACAATGGTACATCTTGTAGGGAAACAACGGTATAACTGTGCACAAGAAAAATGATGCACAAATAAAATTGCATTTTGCAGGTGAGGGAATTTGGATGGATTCTCCTCGATGTCATATTGCAAGCACTCAAATCGCACCAAGTGAATTGAAGTGACTCCACGCCTCCTGCAGGAAAAGAGAGCTAGATTTAGCATTCAAGAATAATGTTTCCTTGGAGCTTCAGAATGAACTTCAAAGTTGCTCAGTAAACAACTGGATTTACATGTTACATCTAGTATACGGCTATTGATACCAACTGGCAAGACTATTAAGGACAAGAAATTCACAACCCACATTACTGATGATAAGCAATCAAATCTTCTACTATATTTGCAAACAATGAGTTCAGCGTAATAAGCTGAATATATATCCCAAATTAAGCAACGCGTTGAGAAAAACCTGGGGGATGTGTATAAGGTAGTCACTTCAAAATATTCAAGTCCTCTTGTAGTCCATTGACAGATTACAAATTGATTCATCTATACCTTCAAGCAAGACTTAATTGAAGAGATTAACCATTTGACTAGCTATTGGATTACCTGCAGAATATCAAAAACTTGTTCAGCAATGAACCTTTGGTGGGATGCAGCACCCTTTTGCTGCAGCTTATCTGGATGTAGGCAGAGTAAAGCTCTCTGATATGCTCTCTTAACTGCACTTCCATCAATTAAATCAACCAGAGGCACAGGCTTCCACCCACTCTCTGGCCAAAGAACCTAATAAAGGTTTGCAGATACAAAAACACAAAGAAAGATCGTTTAGGAAAAGAAAGCCTGAAAACTTTACAATTTCATATGGAAAAGATAAGTGAATTACATCACATCAAAACCTTGAATCTTATCAATCCATATAATTGCGTTCATTATCTAATCACAGAAATAAACCATTCCATTTCATTTTGTACATTTGTCAAGAGATCACAATAAGTCAAAAGAAAGCACCTTGTAATACTGCAACCAGATTCAAAAGAAGAGGAAGAGCAAGTATACAGTTCTAAATCCAAAAGATAAAAGAAAGCATCAAGTGACTTTGGATGTACACAAAAGTTTTGTTTAACCCAAGCAATTAGATGTCTAAAGTCAGAAGGTTAAAATGCTTCCACTATAGAACCTAAGCAGGAAATAATACACAGATATGCAAACAAGTGTTAGATACCAGAATGCAGAAATTAGGTACCAGAATTTTTGAGCTTTGGCAAATGCATAATAAACTATGTATCATAGTTTCGGCAAATTTGTTAAAGATGTTGAAACTTAAAACGCATTACGAAAAAAAAAAGTCCCATAAACTGTGAATGTCACAAATGGAGCTTTCCAATAATTAATTTCCAATTACTAACTCTGCAGGCTCCAATACAAAGATGAGAGTACAACAACAGTTCAATAGGAACTGTGTCGAGGATACAAAACAATTCCAAAGTCATTTATCTAAGACAAACATTAAAACTTCAGAGAGAGAGAGAGAGATCTTACAAGTTGTAATGTTGACAGCAGTGAGCGGATATTTCCTTTCCTTCCACTTGACCATTGTTGAATTTTAGCATTTGAAGCCTGCATCCAGACGTAGGGATATCAAAACAGCATGTTCAGAATTGTGAAAGTCATTATGAATAAAACAAACTCACTTGGATTTCCGCAGAAACTCCACTTGTTTGTAAATCTTTCTCCTCATCATGAGTTAGGTCTTCAACCTGACAACGAGTGTTATATGACTAGCTATTAGAAAGTCCATGCATAATTCAACACTTTAACAACATAATTGCTCTTACTACCGTAATGTGGATAAATTTACTTTCTCTAACCTAACAGCCTTCAGGGCATGAAGTTTATTCCATTAATTTCTACTATGATTGAACAACAGCAATCCAGTGTCGTACTCAAACATCCTAAGACAGATATATACAAAGATATCCTGCATCATTTATCTTTTAACACATAACAAAGAATCAAGTACATACCAGGAAGAAGGAGTCATCTTTGTTTTCAACATTGCTGTCATAATCCTTGGGAAGTGAATCTGGGAAAAGAAGGGAAAATATCAGAAAAATTTGAGGACTATATTTGTGTACACTATGAAAATAAACAACACCAACAGAGTTGAAAAAAGAAATATATTTGAAGAGAATGAAAAGCTACAGCCATAAGACTAAGCTGAGATAGCTAACCAGAAAAATTTGAAGCATTGCTCTCATTAGTAGATGGATCACTAGGTTTGTGAACCGAGCTCTTGAAGTGTGACTCTTGATTCACCTTATTCTTGTTGAAGTTAGCATCCACCTGCAAGATGAAAAGATGTGATTCAAGAAAGTCCACTGTCTTCAGGAAAAAATGACTTCCTATGAGGTTATACAGATAGAAACTTTAACAAATAACGGATGCTATAAAGTACCCTGCTGGAAGCGTCTGCCATGTTATCCAGCTTATGCACGTTCTCATCTGTTTTGACTGCAGTGCTCATCCCATTTTCAGACCTGTTGATTTCCAGTCCCTGCCACCTAGGGCTCTTGCTGTCAAACTTGGCATTAGATTGTGCTGTAGTTTCCTGGTTGAAGATCTTTACAAACTCCTTCACTTTTCCTTTAACTCTAGTTCCACCAATGGCATCTCCTGAATTTGTGGCTGAACCTTTCTTAGCATTAGTCATCTCTGATCTGTTGCTACTGGTGCTTCTTGCATCAGTTTTCTTTGGACTAGTTCTGACATTGACATTATTACTGGCTACATTTGTGGTCTTGATGTAGAAGCTGTTTTCATTTCCTTTAGTGGCAATGCATACACGAAGTTAAATATAATCAATATAAAGTAGCATAGAGATGAAGTAGAAGCTTGATGTGCAGTACAGATTACCTTGTTCCCCGTTCTCATCCTTGAGCAGTTCATGCAGGGATTTTGTGTGAGCCTTTGGAGTTTGCCCTTTATTGGTAGAAAATTCTTTTTCAATTTTTGCATACAGGTTAGTTTCATTCTTTGAAAGAGATTCTTCTTCTGTTTTCTTCCTTGTGATATTGTCATCAAGTTTAGCAGCAGTTCCTTCACTTTCGAAGAGTTTTGGTTCTGGAACTTGCAGATGTGTTTCTTCAACTTGACTGCAGGAATCTATCTTCTTGTCATTGCTACTGTCATCATGCTTTTCATTATCTATTTTCAAGGTCAAAGATTTCGTATCTATGGATATAATGTGCTCTTCCACGGCTGGTAAATGCCTGCCAATAATATCACTTTCAATCCTTCCATTAGAACTGGAACATCTCTCAGTCTTAAAATTTTCTTTATATCTCGATTTACTCCTTCCCCCAAGCGGCATCAATAGAGGTACTCCGCTGCCTGCCCACTTGTATATGGAGAAGTGAAACTGGCCACTATTAAAAGGAACTTCCTTGCCTTGTGTTTTATATTTTAACTTGGCTCCCATGTCTTTTTCAATGGATTTGGTTTCATGACAATTCTCACCAGTATGAGAAGCTTCGTGTGATAGGGGGCTTTGACGGTAAACTGGGCGATCTTTTCTTGCCTCGTCCTGTACCTCTGTTGCTTGGTTTGCAAATCTAGAAAGAGAAGTGTGTTCATCTTTGTTTTTATAGCTTGTGCCGTTTGACAGTCCATCTTTGCTCTTATAGGAACTACGATTTGTGGTACCAAAGAGAGGAAAGTCCGTTGCTTTTGTCAATTTGGCTGGAAGGCTGGGACATTTCATTAGCACTTCAAATTAGATGCAATACACGCAGGAAAGAAAAAAAGGAAAGCAAATCTCATAAGTCATAACCAGCACAATCTGCGTAGAATTTCTAGCACAACATATAAGTTACTGTAATGTAGAGATGATAATTATGCCACAGGAGGAGCACAGAGAAATGGTTCATTTATGCTTGAATTAACTTCTCAGGTCGATTCAGTAATGTAACTACTTGTAGGAATAACAAAGCAACGAAATGGAAAACAAACTAACATGACAAAGGAATTATTGGATAAAATCCTATTACAAGTTGAAGATCAAGGTTCAAATACCACAAATTTAACCACCCGCTACTTGCAATATGGCGCCTTTCTGATTAAAACAGGTAAAGCAGTACGAGAAGAAAGGATTAAATATGACAAATGTCGAGAAAAAAAATAAGAGATTAATATCCTTTCCATGTCACAAGAAAAAGAATCCACCTTGGCAAGGCAGCAATATTTAGCTAAAATCTCCCTCGTATCCTTTCCATTTCAGAAAGGCCATGAAATGTAAAATAACAGCATCCTAAAGTTTTGCAAGCTCTATAATCCTTCTGGAGAACACAAATTCACCATCTATGTCATTGTGAAAGTGCAGGAATCTCTCGGTTAAAATGTCCTCTTCCTATCCAATTAAGAAACCTTACAGAATTGTTTAAGAAGGAAAATCAAAACGAGGAAAATGATAATAAAATCTTTACCCGAATTGAGCAGGGTATGACGTGCTAAGGGGCTCAGCTTTGGGTGGCAATGGCCTAGAGGGGCTTGAAATCCGGGAACCAGGGGAAGAAGCGAAGAAGTCCCTGCTAGTCCTCCGAGACTTAGCCTCATCACCTTTGAAAATATCATCATAAAAATCATCACTTGGATATGACTTTCTGTTGACACCTTCTGCACCAAAAACTGGTTTTTCGTCTAAAACAGGCCATGGACTTCTTGAGAAAACTGCATCTTCATCAGACTCCTCTCTTGCTTCACAGAAACTATATCTATTTCTGGTTTCTTGAATGGAAAATCGCCGTGGAGGGCCGCCAAAAACATCACTGAAATCCATGTCCGAGTCTCCATCCGATGTTTTCATTGAGGTCTCAAAGGATCCTTGTCGACTATATCCCAGTAAAACATTTTCCCTTTGACTAAACCTCTCCATATGCTGAACTATCGCCAATGGGATCAAAGATTTTAAGGAAAACAGAATTTGGCGGGAAAATATGTTAGCTCTCCTGGGGATTCAAGATTCTGGCGTACTTCAGTTTACACCTTACTTTGCTCATGAAATGGTGCAGTTTGTGGAATCATGAGAATAAATTTGACAATTTTGATGAAGCACGAAAATCAGTTTCTATGGAGTTGTATGGTTGCTTGAAATTGCATGCAAGTTTTCCAACTTTGACAATCCAGTTGGAAAAAATAATAAATATGTGGTTTTAGTGCAAGTGATGATTCCATCAATCAAACATGCGAGATTGGGTAATTGGAACATGAATTGTCAAGAAGGGAAAAAGAAAGGTTAGGAGGAGAAGACAAAAGAAAGTGGGGCTTGACTCTTTGAGACAAAGATGAGCAAGGAACTGAAGCCACAAAATGGAGGGGTTTATATCATATATGATGTATCATGTATGTTGGGAGAGGACTCGCAGTCACAGGATAAGGAAGGAAATATTCAAAAGACAAAAGAGGGTAATATCTCTGGCAATCTTCTTTCCTAGTAAGCTTGAGCATTTGGATTTATTCTAAAATTCTTCTGGTGGCTGTTCCTCTGCTGCTTTTCTTTTGACCTGACTGGACTGGACTGGGCTGATACCATACTCCGCTGAACAGTCCCGGAATCTGAGAACTGGACCACCAACTGAAACGTGTGATGATGTGAAGCAAGTTTTACCGGTACGGTAGGCAATGTCTTACAAACACTTGATAAACTGCAACCAACCATCAGTGATTATACGATCCAACTAATTTTGCATCAACAACAGCCATAAAGCTGTTGGCATGAATGAAAGCCATTCACGTTTACAGGTATAAATTGAGGCTGCGTCTGATTTGTCTTTGACGTGCGGTAATCTCGTAACATGATCATCTTACAATTGACATATTCTTGTCCAATTAGATCCTGAATCTACTTTATTTCCGAGAATTATAGCGGGGTTCTGTGCATTGGTTCACAAACAATTTTCCTATCCAATTTCAAAAAAAAAAAAAAAATACAAAGATTGAATCCATTATTTCTTGTGCTTCTCAAGTGTAGATTCCGATTATTGAGAACATGGTCCAGACGAGCTGTGTAGGCATTTTCAAGCACCGAAAGATTAGAGCTGGCTTTTGGCTGCTATAAGAAACATTAAATCAGGCCTAAAGTGCCAAGCATAACTGAAATGATGCTGACATGTCAACAGCATTGAGACGATGATCATTTATCTTAACAGAAAAAAGCATTAAGTACCACGAAAGAAACAGCTAATTGTAGTTAGCATCTAAAACATCAGTAGATCCAATTCTATCTTAATAATTATGTTTCACTTAGACTTCAGTCTCAAGCGTTCTTTCCAACAACGACCGCTTCTTTCAGAATTCAAGTTCTATATCTCTCACCACATAATTATCACTTAATTGTGGATGTCACTTCAAGTGACTTCCATCGAAAGAACAGTGATATGTTTTGTACAGCTGCAGGAACTGTCATCATCAAAAACTTGCTATATTATGAACAAAAATCCATTTCTCGAGTTTATGGCCGTGAAAGAATGCAACAGACGAACTCTTCCATGCAAAATATGATGGTGTTGATTATCTTCATACTGCTGCAAAAGATCGATCTATTCAGAAACTCATACATTGTGACCGTTAGAGTTGAGCAATCTCTCTTCCTCATTTGGCAGTTCAGACATAGACAGCTCAATATTTGACTTAGAATTCATTTTGTTCCACTCATTCTCTACACGAAAGAAGACCCATTGGAAACGGCGAACAATCTCCAGGGCAGTGATTGTAAACACGGTGATGTAATTATGGCGGAGATGAGCAGACAGCTTGTATGTCCATGTGCATCTCAGGATGAGATTGCTTCCAATTACCCAGAAGTATACCTGAGGTATAACAAGAAGGAATAGATAGATTCCTGTTAATATGCATAAGCGCCAATAAAGACTATTTCAAGCAGTTTGTCACTACTATCAAAAAGTAGGGAAGACAACAGGGTAGTGAACCATCATCACACTGCAGAAAAATCTGGCTTTCACATCTGGAAATGAAACTTTAAATGAAGCCACAGCATTAAAAGGTCAAATTCTCATGGAACTGAAGGCCACATCAGCTGATGCAGTGGGCCTGTGGCATTAACAGGCACATAATAGTTCCTCGTGAAACTGGCAGGCAAGAGTTGCTTTGCCAACTTCTTTACACACACATTAACTATATCTTGGTCCGTATTGATTTTCGCCATTGAACTTGTCAACAAAAAGAAGAAGAGTTGAACCTAATTAGAACTAAACTTCTTACCCATTTCCGTCCGTATAACAAGTGGGACATGAGATGGGGTTTGCTGAACATGAAAATCCGAGTGAAAGAACTGCAGAGAACAAAAAGGTAGATTACTGTTAAAAGATACAATTGATTTAGATGGCCTAAACCAGAGATGCAATGCACTTGTGTCACGAACTGAACGGTAACTATCTAGCGGTAATTAATGTTCTTTCATTCGCATCAAGAATTTGGTACATCAAATCTTAGGTGAAAAACTTCATAAATCTTGCTTCCAAACTAAGCAATTTCACTCAAAGTTGACACATGCCCATGCACCATGTGCGTAGTGAATAATAAGTTCACAACAGGATGTATATACACTACATAGACAGACACACACACACACACACATACGCATGCACGCAGACACAAACTAGATTAGAATTTTAAATGTCAGTACTGGAAGCAGAAAGCGCTGCATACCTCAAGTCCCAATCTCGGGTCACGTCCCAGTAAAAAGAATACAAAGAGTTTAAAACACCAGAAAGAAGCCATAGAGGTCGGTATACATTCATCCACTTATCAGGAAAGACGTGATACTTGAGGGCTGAAACAAAGATTACTGGTACTGCCGTCGAATACTTTAAAGCTGAAAACCATTAGGAAGGGTAATGATTTAATACATGATAATGAAGCAAGGAAGGATTACATTTTCTTAACAAAACATCTTCATCCTCGCACGGACTTGTTCCAAAAATACAAATTGACAGAAAATAGGCGCCAAGTTAAGCATTTGAATATTGTAATAACTTCCTGAAATAACAAATGCACTATTTACTAAGGAAGTAAAGGTGATAAAAGGGAGTGAATAAGGAAGCAGATACACAAAATTTACTGCATTGTTCCGCATGAAAATTTTCATGTTTCTTACAATTCTCAACCAAGAGCACAAGTACTTTTTCCATAATAAGCAAAGAGTAAAAAGCAATTAGATGTCTTGCATAAATCAGTCAAATAACCCCAAGAAAAGCAAAATACCTTGAGAACTGACATAGGATACTACTATCCTAACAAATCAGACTTTGCAAATTCATGGCCTTGCAGCATAAGAAAGTAGTAAAAATCATCAACTCGCCGAGCCAAGCAAGGGAACCCAAAAGACATTACAAGAACTTCATGACTGTTTCGAACTTGACAAGAACATCATGGGTTTCAAACACTTCTAATCATGCAAAAGCAATCTGTGCGATTGCAGAAAATACCATGCAAAATGGTATCTTTTCACCACTTCCTCCAACAAACAGTTTAACACAACAAGAGAAAAAGCAATGTGTCAGGAATTACCATTGAACAAGGAAGTTTTTTCCTTAGTATCTTTATATTGCCGAAGACATTGAAAGAGACGAAAAAGGTAAGGCAAAACGAGAACTATGGGAATTGCAACAGAATGACTGCCACAAACAGAATCAGCTTCAAACCATGCAATTGTGGCAACCTGCACATAGCATCAACTAATTCTTCAGATGAGAAACAGGTACTGCATAAACTGGTAAAGCGGTCCAACTTGTAAAACAGCAGAAAAAGAAAATTTATTGTTTAAAACCCATTACAAGTTCAAGGCAGCAAGCATGACAAAAATCTTGAGCAGTACCAACTTAATTTCATTACCAACTTAATCAATGGAAATGACAAGGACTAAAGGACACATCTGACTATAGTTTCCCAATAAAAGTTCTGAAAATTAATCTCTCAGAACTGCAACATGGAGTACAATTCCCCTCAACTGATACTTAATGAATATCCCATACAACTTCGTTGGGACCCCTTCAGGTAAATGGCTAGACTCTGGGTGAGTAAATCTACATTAACCTTGGTCTGCTACTTCCAAACCAAAAATAATCTCTACGAAGGCCTTGAGTGAAGAGTTAGTCAACTCAGCTTTCTGCTTCTTATCCAAAAGTCTGCATTACCCCATGCATTGCCACAAGATTCTTGACAAGTCCCATAAAACTTCTACAACCTGATTTGTTGCTTGTGTGGCCAAGTGACACCACCCAAAATCTGATAACTCTTCTAAGTGCATAGCAAACCAAACATAATGCTTATCCCAGGTAATCTAAAAAACTGACACAAAAAGAACTAACTCTGACATAAACAAGATGGAGGGATCATAACATGATTACACAGAAGGATTGAAAAAGCATGATAGCAAAACAATCAAGTGAAAACATACAGAAACAATTAGACACAGGAGGCATCAATTAAAACAAGTCATAGAAATGTGCATCTTACTAACTCTCAGAAAAAGAATAACAGTGATAATAAAAACAACAAGAGAATTGAGAGAGTAATAGACCTGTCGATGAACCATCCGACAAACTGAACGCTCCAAATCTGAAAACACCTGCATAAAGTTTTATAGAATAGCTGCAGAAGTTATAAAACATAGCTTTATTTGGACAAATCTAAACTCATATCAAGATAACAAAAGCCAAATAATGCCATTTCAATTAAACATCAGATCTCTGTGAATTCCCAATTCGCTCAGTTTAGGATAAGATTTTCCCATTTAGCTACGTTCAAAAGATCCACTTGACATAATAAAATGGATCTAAACAGCATTAGGACAACCCTCTTGCCCTAACTTCATTTGGGCATGGTCATGCATGCAGAATTGCATAAATTCTCAAAAGATCCCAATACATTCTCTGGAAACAAATTAGCATGCTAGCCAAAAAAATTGAAACGCAAATGTGGAATCAACCTCCAGAAACTCCACAAACCAAGGTAAAACACTACTATTGCTCTCTCCGTAGTATGGATACGGATAATCAACTCAGTATCAGGGCAGGAAACATTTAAGAGCAACTAAAGTGCATACTGCATACCTTTGACATGGAGGTTAATATATCAGCCAAAAAGAAGTCAGCAAATGATATTGCCTGTGCACACAGATTAAATAAAAACAAGAGAAAATGTGATACGCTGTAAAAAGCATTAGAGAAAAAGTTAAATGTTGCAACAAAGAAAAAGTAATTATTTGCCCTAAATCCAAATGATCCAAGGAGTATTCAAAACACAAGAAGTACTGTAAAGAAATGTCCTTTTGGTACTATAATAAAGACATGAAATTGAATGCCAAAAAAACAGCCATTACTAGCTTTAGTTGACATGTCCCCTGCTTCTTGTCCCCTTTTATTCCTCTTGTAGTTCTTTATTTTACTTCTCCTAGTCAAATTATGAAGTAACACTTGCAAATTGATTCTGGAAAGCCCACATACATGTACACAAAATTAGAGATGAAGAAACTCTCATGCTTCTGTATCCACCTCCAGAAGTTCAAGGTAAGTTCACTACAAATTCAGTTGAGTTCATAGTATATGAGCTGAGAATCAACAATTCTTTCATTTGGTATACCTACAAGATATCTGCCATATTCTAAAAGATCATAAACT